AGCTTGTTTTCCCTAAGGCTAATGCCCCTTTTTTTCAGAAATGATATAGCTGAACAAAACACATTACTCAAAACGTCTCCTAATCGTGTCCCTATTGCCACTGACCTCCAGCATAATAAGGTAAACCGTTTCCCACTTAGTAATTGCAATAGGCATCATAGATGGCTGGTTCGTGATAGTAAGGTACTCTCATGATATAAAATACTGTGTAGATGAAGCGTTACGATTACTCTTCCTTGTTCAAATGAGATAGGTCGACTAATGTCGTCCTTTATATCGATCTCAATACTCTGAAAACTTTGTTTAGAAACGGATCTGTAATGAGGATTGGTAAATGTTTCAGTGATCATGTCTCCATCCTGACTTTTAACTTGAACAATTCACATGGATCACCAACAATACCTGAGTAATCAGAGAGTGAATAAAATCCACCATGCGTGTCAACAGTATATGGAGCTATAGTGGTCTTTGTTATCATGTGATTATTATCAAGCCCAAGTATTACTGATAGTACAGGATCAAGTGTTATGGAGGCTCAATCATTTACATTCATGCTTACTTTTGGGTGAACGAATCATAAGTAAATATAAGTTCATTGTCGGTTTTAGGTTTGTTTGTAGTTAAGCACAAAGCTATACAAAGGGCTAGCTGTGCTCTGCCAACCAGGGGTATCGAAACCCGGATTCTAGCGTTGTAAGTCTGCAGACATACCGCTGTGCCACTGGGGGGGAGGGGGGCTTCGGAAGTGATTCTTCTTCTTGGTTTAAAATTCTAATTAAATCTTCAGGTTCTTTGTAGTGACCTGATATAGTATAATTTATTATGACAGCAGGGTGAGAGCCAGAAAAGTAAGATAACCACCCTGTTCCATTAGGCATGTTATGCCGGCTATGTGGATACTGTAATTCGACCAACACCAGAGATCTCAGAAGATGAGTGATATAGTTTGTCAGTGTATTGTTGGCAAAATAATTCACTGAACTGTTGCTAAGTAATATCACATACAACTGATCCATGCTGAATAACGAGTAATAGAGCAATGAATACCATTTTATGATAGCAGACAATTCAGATATGTTTGAAGAATCCAGCTATTAAATTTAACAGGATAACCTTCCCATTTTACAAAATATTATGTTTTTACCCTTTCCTCGTTCACGTAATATTTCTTATACAGCGTAGTCGTCATTGGGATACTTTATAACTCTTTGTAGTTCAGATTCGTAAAATGTTCCATTTAATTTTCCTCCGAGATAGTCTTGCAGTGGTGCACTGGTGGAATTCTCTCTCTCTATTCTCGCGCAGGCCCGGCATGGCCAGGTGGTTAGGGTGCTTGACACCTATAATGAGATAATCATGGCGGCCTAGCAAAGCGCCCCTGGTGACACTTCGTGGAACTATGACGTCATCATCTCTACCCCTTGAGGTCGATACACTTGTGGTGTCCTCTGGTGGCGTGACTGGTAAGTACCGCTCTAACTACTTACTTGGCAAATAAGAAAATGTTTTCTGAGTAAGAAACCCTAGATATAAAGATAACATCACCAATCTAATTGACAAAAAGTTGTCACAGAGTCTAATGCTTGTTTCAATATTTGGTTGTGCCCCCCTGGCCTTGATAATTGCTTGACATTGCTGTGGCATAGAGAGAGTGCATGCGAGACTAAGTGTAGACAGGGGTGAGTTCATGATGCCACACATGTATTAGGGCTTCCTGCAGTTCCAAGGTGCTTCTTGTTTTCTCCTCTTACACTTTGTTACCCATTACCTTCTAGTGGGTTTTATATGGTTGAGATCTGGGCCATTGCCTGGCCTGTGTAGTGTTTTGATCCTTTCTCTTCTAAGATAGTTCTTCACCTGAAGCAATGAAATAACATCTAAGATGCCTTTTCAATACACATAGAGTGAAATTTCCTTTCTATTTCACCTCTACTGCATAGAGTGCATGTATGTTACCAAGATTTTAGCCCTATGGCATGAAGCAGAGTCATCGTGGAATGTATATTGATCAGATTCACCAAAATTATCCCGATTGTAGGCTTTAACCAAGTCTCGAGGATCTCAGCGTTGTTATTGCCTGGAAAAAAATGTAATCATCTCAAATCCTGGCCAGAGATGTATCCCCATATTACCCAACCACAAGAATGCTTCATAATTGCATTCAAACATGCTGGAAGAAGCTCTTCTCCACATCAATGTCGTACAAAGTGCTTCCCATCAGACCCATGCAGGTTGAACATTGATTCATTTGAGATCACTTTGCTCCACATTGCTTCAGTCCAGTCAGCATGTTCTTTGGTCCAATTGAGGCTCATCTCCTTCACTGTGTTAGTGAGGAGGAATTTCTTTCTTCCTGGGAGATTGACTGAACACAGGCAAGATCAGACAGTGTGCACAGTGACCCCTAAAGTTTCCTGCCATACTCTTTTGAAATCTGTGGACGACAGTCAGTGATTCTGCAAGCTCATGCATTTCACCAATGATTAAATTTAATTCTTCTAGCAATATGCCTTGTCAAAAGTTCCTTTTTGCTAAAAGAAACTGACTGGTTTTTTTCCTTGGAGTAAACTTGCAATTGTTCATATTAAAAGAGAAAACTGGACATTTTTACTGTGTGATGTATAATGTTCTGTGTATCTAACATTTAGTTAGCTTTTTTGTCCTGTTTAAAATATGGAAAATTTGGTTTCATTATTGTGGAGCTATACATGGTTAAAGAGTTTTCTTTTTTGCTGTATGCGTTTCATTATGGCTAAAGTTAAGTTAGTTTTAAAAGGATTTGCTTATACATTATTTTCTATGTTAAAAGTGTTTATTGCAGTGTGTACTTGCTCTGTGTTAAAGGGTATTTTTGTCGTGTGGAGTTTAAATTTGCATCATTGCTAAAGGGTCTTATTATTGTTAGTGCTAGTCACTCTGGGTAAATCCAACATTATCTATAAAATAAGGAACAATGAGTTTAAACACTCTGGTAGATTGATCTATACCTGTTCAGTTTAGAAAAGAAGTTACCTGATCCAGTAGATGTGGCCATCCCATGTCTATAAAGCAAGTACACATACCATGCTACTGAATAAACAGAATGTTTACATGTATTTTACATTGTGATTAATATCTTCATTTAGTTCTCACAAGCTCAGTTACTCAGACAATCTGTTAATTCTTTGTACTTTGTAGAAAATATCTTATACAGCCTCCTGTTATTAATTGGACTTATCCCATTGTTCTATTATTATATTAAAGGTTAATTCAATTCTACATGAATATATCACAAATATTACCAGAGCTTCAGCCACTTTCTAAATATTTTCATGAACATTTGTTGTTTACTTTTATTACTTATTTAGAAGGCAGGCAGCAATACTACAACTTGATATTAATTATGGGTTAAAGCAAAGTAGAAAAGATAAATAAAGCACACAATGTGTCATCAATGTGACTTGACATCATCAGGTGAAGACTGGACAGTTGAATTGAAATCAGGGCTGCAGATAAATATTTTTTATTGGCAAGACATATCTGATTAGTTTATCATTTTGAAATGACATGATATATAATCCTACTAAATTTAGTCAGATATACAATATTTACTATTTAACATACAATTGTTTTATTTACTTTGTTGTTATTCCTGTATACGAAAACCATATTGTCAAAAGTAATTTGAAAAGAACAGTAAATGTAAATATCATTTTAAAATTTTAAGGTAAAAATAGTCTATGTCATGATTAACCCCTTGGGTGTTGAGTGCATATTTACATATCAAATTTCAAAGTTTAAGTATAAAAAAAGAAATTACAGCTCTATTTCAACAATTTTTAAAAAACAAATATTTTACAATCAATATTTTGTCATTTTGTAATATATATTTAGCGTAACTCACAAAGATAAATGAAAAGAATGAAAGCTGCAAATTTCATTTCTGTGCAGCTCCAAGGAACCTCATCTGTATAGAATGCATTTAATGAGCTTATTGCCCATACTAAAATACAGCTTTATATTTGCTAAGAAATTACCATTTAATATGAATATAGCTACCCATGTCTTGTTTCATAAGTGATTTTCTTTCTCCTTCATTGGCTTTAATACTACAGCATTAGTTTCCACCCTTTTATGATATCACAGCATATAGTCTGTAAGAACAGCTTTGAAAATAGCATTAAGCAAAGTTTACCATGATTGGATGGAGCAGATTATAAACAATTTGCATCAATGTAAATAAGGTGATATAAGCAGTAGTTTATGGTTTATGGGACAGTTAATAGTTGGAGCTCCTGAAAGGAAGAACAAACGAATCTAATGGCAATTTTAGAAGATTTGGGAACAAACCACAGACCTGGGATTTTTTAATAGTTTTTTAGGCACTTTTTTTTGGTACATATGGTACCAAAAAACTCTCACACAGGTGCTAACTTAAAAATGGCTTCGATGAATTTCTCAACCTTTTCTGTTTAACCAGACTACTTGTTTGAATGGACATTATGCAAATTATGAAACTTATAATTTGGTTAAACATAATTAAAATTTTGTTGGATAATGTCCAATGTCTGATTCTTATTTGCAGCTGTGTAATTCAACATGTGTTAAGTGATCATGACATGAAGTCTTCTACTATGTTCAAGGCAACAGGGAATGCATCAATGTTATGAATAAAAGCTTTCTCTGCATCACTGATTCTATAAAAGACAGGTTGAACACCAAACACACTTTTATTAGTCATCTGAAGTATTTTTAATTTTCACTGTTTTATGGTTATATATTTCATGTTTGACAGCTAAAGAAATTTTAAGTGACTCTTGTTTTAAATGTGCCCATTTTGAACACTTCTTGTCAATACCTACTGTGTTTTTTGTAATCAATTAACAGATCCTTTCATAAAATGTTTAAAATAACAAATCCACTTAAATATTGAACTTATTACTTTTGTTCTATTTTGACTATACTCTCAGCAGCTTAGTGGATAATTTTGAATACCAAAGAACTGAGAAACCTTCAAAAGATACAGTTCTGAAAAAACAATTTATTGTGACAGCCATGAAGTTACCATACACCTTTTACATAACCTTTCTACTTTCCAAATAAAAAAACAGCTTCATATACATCTCTCATTTTTCATGCTGCTATCTTCTGGGCCACTGACAATTATTGGAACTTCCTTGCGATGACCCACCTTTCTGATATGTTAGACTTTTTCCTTCTTTCCTTTTCCTTCCACGCTGATTAACCCTCTAAAAGGTAAAAAAGTTTCAGTAAAAATTTTGTTTTAAACACATTATTTTCTAAAATGTATGCAGAAATGTTCATTCCAATGTCAAGTACTTTATCATAAAATTGAGTCTTACAAATCCATACCAAAATCACTCATCTGTTAAAATAGGATGCAATCAGAAAACTCTATCCACAATACATCATTAATGTAAAGTTGAATCTTATTTATTTTACCTTGTGAGCAAAGTTTTCATCATCAGGGTTAAACTCTTTCCTGTTTTTCTTAGAAATGCTCTGACCTACATCATAGAAAAAGTTTTATATTCCATTTTTCATAATAATGTTTAATTTGTAAATTTTCTTATGTTTAGAACAGCTTCTCACAGACATCTTATAAAGTTTTTAATACTTTAGGTAATCACAAAATTAGATTTCAAGTTGTGTTTATTTTAATATGCACAACTTATAGGTTTTTTCTGTCTACTTTTTTGTAACAAACACAAGATTAATATTAACCATTTAACATATTTTTTTTAAAAGAAAGCCAAAGAATCAGTCACCAACCTTTAAAAACAACCATGTCAGTTTCACTATAGTCAAATGTTTGGAACACAGATTGTGACAGCTCTCTTCCTGTTGTGGACTTAACAAAGGAAGATTCTGCAATTCTAATGTCTGAAATAGCCTCTGTCTTTCTTTTCTTTCTCGTCTTGGACAGCTGTATTGAAAGAGATTTAACAAAATATTTTTTTCTTTTGTAAACTAAATATCCTAAGCTTTTACTATGAACTTTTAATAACTTATATCATTAATGCCATGTTATAAAATAAAAACAGTGGAAATATTAATTACCTATGAACTATGAAAAATAAAAGGAAATTATGGTAACTTACTAAAAAAATAAATGGTTGTTTCAGAAAGATCTAGTGCTAAAAAATATGTACGCTACATAATATTGAATTTTTAGCTAATCATTTCACCTTATTACAGTCAGATGCTATTTTAGTGTGGGAGTAGATGAGAGTTTCTGCCATTTTAAAAGTTTGAAGATGGCTTGACTGGGTAATGAAAAATCATTGTAAATGTACAAAATTTCTGGTTATATGACTTCTTTGTTCCACATTGTATATATATTCCTGTGTATACGTAAACTACTTGTACCTGAGGATGACATAATCTTATCGAAACATCATACAGTTTTAATAAAGTTTTCTTTATTACCCGGTCTAAACTTTTATTTTCTATAAGTAGGTTACATGTCTTCAAATTTCTGCCACTTTATTTACAATTAATTTATAACCATTAACTTTCATCCAACAGAAACCACCAGATACACATTCATCAGCCATAACCAATCTGAAATTATATCAATCTAAAAACTGTGCCACCATGTTCATAAATTTCCCCTTCCCATTTTATCTCTAAGATTGAAATGCCATAATTGACAAAACTTATGAATGATGTACAGGTCTCTCATTAATGTTTTTTTTTCAGATTTAGAATAACAGGTTCTGGATCAGCATGGTTACAGATTGTAAGTTAATTCATATCTTAGTTAAAGATTTCCTGTGGACAAATTACGTTTCTGTTTTCTAATTTTTGATATAGTTAGCTTGGTTAAATACTACTGACATTTCACCCCAGAGTACTAAATTCACTGCTGCCAGGTTCATTTATTAGTAAAAATACTCAATTTAGAAAAAAATAAATGTAATTTCAAAAGAAATCTCTTACAACTTGCAATCTATTGAAGACTCTCAAATATTTCTACCTATAGACAATTCTTGAAATCTTAATTTTATCTGATAATGTTATTTTGTGAATTTTACTTGCACTGCACACACACTTTGAAAACCACCAAACATTTCTTGTATATTTAGATAAAGTGAACCATCAAATTTGTTCACATATTGTAATGCTGCTCTTCTCAGATTTGTTTGCTAATGCATACTAAAACAGAAAAAACCACTATTAATTTCATTTCTATCAAGGCTGTATGTGTGAATAATTCCATCCAATGACACCATTGCAGACTGTTCATTTGTTATTGTATCTCATATACTGCAATTTTATCACATTTACTTGAAATCTGAATCACTGTTTGGCTTATGATTAACTTAAGAAAGTCACTCTATGTGAGGATAAACCAATGGTGAAAGCAGCTCCAAAACATTATTGTAACAGTGATTCAATTTCAAGGTTCTGTCCTACAATAATCTAGTCACACACTAACACAAATGTAAACATTCTTAAGTAATGTTCATGGCACACTGTGCATAGTGCACAATTATTTGTATATGCTACAACAATGTCACACTGATAATGAATATAAAGTATTTTTTGATCTTAATAATTTTTGTAAACATTTCAAACTCTTATTTCAGGATCAAGGCTAGATGAATATATTTTTCATAAAAAAAATGTTGCCACTTAAATTTTCTGCTAAAGTTTTATATTCCAGAACCCCTCTAGATATGGCACTTACACATTCTCAAAAGCAATTAGACCTATTTCTGCATTAGCTAAAACTAATTATACATAAGTCTGTGGATAAAAAGAAAACAACATAAAATCCAGAGATAAATCTTAGCCCCTATAGATTAAGCATCATATTATAATTTTCAATTAACTAAATTATTATGAAATATCGAGGTGGAGCACATTGTATTAAAACGATTTTGGAGCCTCACCACGTCACTGTTGTCCATATCAGGTCATGCTCCATTTTATGACCATGAATCTTGAAAATATATTGAAGTATAGTTTCCATTGGAAAATAATCTTTCATTAGGCTATCATGTCCAAAGCACACCATTTCTTCCTGCTTGCTTTCCATAATCCAACTAGTTTAAGAGGGCAACAGTTTGCCAGCATTTGTTTCAACAATCTGATTGTTCAGAAATCCATGTGTTGCTTCCAGCAACTTGACTGGTATATATACATATGAAATACCTGTTGTTTTTTTTCTATAGTTGGTGCTTGAAGTATGTGACAGTTGAACAAATATGTCATGAAAGCAAATGTGCACACATGATCTGTTTAGTATTGTTGGCTGTGAGAAGTGGACAGCTTATGCCACTAACCTTTGTGTTCATAAATTCTCACATGTTACAAGGCACTGCACTTTGCTTGCCACAGTTGGGGTACAAATTACTGCAGGTCTCTTTCTAGATGATCCTGGTCCAAAACTTTAGCCATATTACTTTGTTTGCTAATGCCATTAACTAAACAGGGTATCCAACATTCCAGTTTTATCAGGGAACATTTGATAATAAATCAAGCAGAAATTAAATATGTTAATTTTTTTTATATACAACTTGTTCTTATTTAAAACTTATTTATGTACTTTGGTTACCACAGTCCCATGTTAAAACCAATGGCTACAAGAGATGTTTGAGGTGTGAAGCCCTAAATGTGCATGAATTTGTACACATTATTAGTGTATATCAAAGCAGCTTTAGTTTCAACAAGTAATAAAAAAACATTTTATAACTGTATAATAACATAGGGATGGCAGTACCAAAAATAATGCAAATAAGAATATAGGGAAGATACAGCTATACATAGATCATCCCTACATGACTTTCAATAGTAACATTTAATGTTACACTGTAAAGTGCACAAGTATAAAATAGTTACAAGGTCGAATTGACTGACCTTGTAGTGAGAGTCAGTAATAATCAAGACATTTTTTGACTTAGCTTGGTTTTCCTTGTATACAAGTTCTTGGCTCTTAGTTACACTACATTGATGCCTACCCTGATATAACCATGATATTATGATAAACAAACTGCATACCAACAATCAGGAATATGTAACTTCAAACTGTAGTAATATTAAAGTCAAGTATGCATTTTACAGAGTAACATTACATTTTAATATTGAAAGGGATGATCTATGTATAGCTATAT